AGATTTTTATGCTGAGGGAATATGGAAGCTTGGGCACAGATTGGAAAAGTGTGTGACAGTGCTGGGGACTATGTCGAAAAAAAAATGTAAGCTTGTATCTGTATTAGAAGTCCTTATACCGAAAAATTCACCTTATTTATTGAATGACCCTCGTATATGAGGGTTCAATGCAGAATAAAAAAGTAACAAAAATTGTGTTTTATACTTGAAATCACAAATGCACTGGACATGAGGTTAATTTCTTCCACCTCCATTTGTGCTTCTGATCCTGGAGCACACCCGTGAGCCTGAACAGGATAAATTGTACTGAAAATGGATGGATAGATTCTGGAGTACACTCACCAGGTCTTCCCACTGCTGTTTTTGGATGGTGTGACTGTGGGGGTGGGTTTGGATGCTGTAGCGTCCACACTGGTCTCTTTATTGGCCAAGGCCAACATCTTCCTTTGCTTTTGGGACAATTTCATAGGAGTAGGAGAATATTTGCAGAGAGTACCAACACTGAAGGCAAGCAGAAAAATATGTAGAGTGGGTGGGAATACCTAAAACTTGTGCGCCGTAAATAGTCTGTAAACAGCAACTGTAGTCAACCTGAATATGCGTTGATATTTTACCTTGCTAGGCTTTTAGGAGCTGGTTTGAGGGTCTGCGCAGAGCTGGCTTCCATGTCCATGATGGCTCTAAGATCCAACACTGGAGGTGGATGCGGAGGTCTACAATTTAGAATAACATAAGGTCACACCACACGACCAGATTTAAAGTAACTATGGCAGAAAACTTTCTCCTCATCATCGCTTTAAAATATTGCTGGAGAAAAATAGGTGCACTTCAACTGACTTATTTTTAATCATATTTCGAACCTGCATTTGATTCAGGTGCAATAACTGATTGTCACAAGAAATATATTTGTCAAGGAGACTATTCAAACACACAAGATGCCGAATTAATTATTTGGTCAGCTGGAGTGACCATTCCAAATCATCTAAATTCCGGTGGTCTTGTTTCAAAATTCCAAATCCAACCCTTGTGCTTATGATTTTTAGTGTTGCAGATATGGTAGGGAAAATCAGCCACTTGCGAGGAGGAAAGCCGAGTCCAGAGCAGAGAACCTAACGCAACAGGCAGTTAAAATGTTTTTGTTTTTTTTTTAACGGAGGACACTGTATCGTGCTATTGCAGCACAGGTGCACATGGACCACAGAGCGCTTGATGGCTGCTTCAAAATAATCTATGAGTGTCTCAAATAAAAGTGGCCCCACCACACAAGCTATGAGTCCATTTTCCGATACAGGTTTTAATAAAAGATTGCTTTAACATGATAATAGTCATACTCTTATTGGAACTCTTGTCTTAAAGTATGTTTCCTGTAAAAGAAAGTGAGTTCATTGAATTTAGAGAGTACATGCACGTCATGGCGCATGGTCAGGATGGTACCACCTCTGCCTTAATTTGAGCCAGGAAAAACCCTGTTCCGTCTTACCTGTGAAGGATCTTTGGGGTATCTTTTGGACTAGAGGTGGGGGGAGGTGGGAGGCCATTCCTTGTATTGGGTGGGATCTTCATTCTCTGACACAAGACCCTCTCTTCCTGTGGATAATGAAACCAATTATTTTCCTGTATTTGAATAACATGTGTGACCACTACAGTACACTAACCACAGCTCTGTCATGAGAGACTGGTGACTGCATTTCTCTGGGGCTACCCAGCCCCATGCAGCTACCCTCCGAGTCCGATGTGAGCAGCTCCTGCAGTGACTCTGTTGAGGTGTCTTTTCGTGTCTTCACGAGGCATGGGGAAACTGCTGAAAGAAATACAGTAATTGCAAATCAGTGAAAAGTGAGGCTTTCAAGTGAAATGTCACTTGCATCTGAGTGTTTGTGCAACCATACCTGCAGCAGGGGGGCTTTGAATAAGTTCAGACAGTGTATAGCCTCCTGAGCTGTCGGAGCGTCGCCTTGGTTTCTTTTTAGCCTTCATCTTGGCTTTCTTGAACAGTACTTCCCTGCGGAAGGAGGGTTTTGATTAATTAACAGCACACATTTAAATTACATTTATTTTTAAGCGGATACACTGTTTTTCTTCTTCAGTTTTTCAAAAATAAATCACTAAGTGTTTTTTTGATCGATACTGAAATCATGATTAATAAATTTGATTATTCACTGATTCCAAGAGAGTAATCTCTCGACCAAAACTCAACTTTATGCTCAAATATACTATCCATCCATCCATTCTCTAATACTATACAAAAATGTTGATTGTTTTTGTGATATAGATCGTCATATCGCCCAGCTCTAGACAGAGAGTAGAGCAGAGCTGTGCATTTGCATATTTGGTGACTATTGGTCACTGTTTTCAGACAATAGAACTTGACAAAACAAGCCGAGAAACATTACAATGCTTGCCTGCCCTCAATGACTGAGATGAAAAAAAAGCATTTATGGGTGTCATACCCCCCCCCCCCCTCGAAAACACAACAGA